AAAATTTACAGAGACTTTGAATTTCCATTCATTCATTGTTGCACTTTTCTCCCCTCCCAATCTTCCTCCCCCCCAGTCACTCCCCTCTTGGAAAAGTAAAAGAAAAGTTCTTTCATTGTTTTACAGTCCTTCCCCCCCAGGTCCACTCCACTTATCAACCTTTGCTCTGGACTCCCATCATGACAAAAATAACTTTATCACATATCCCTTTTAGACGGTTTTTACCCTCATCTGTTTCAATGAAGTATACTTTATTGAACCCATCTTTATCAGTCTCCCCCCCAACCCCAAGGTCAGTCCTGATTTACAGCAGTAGCACCATGCAATATTTGTCGTTTTGTGACTGAGATACTTCACTCAGCATAATGTCCTCCAGAGTCACCCATTTTGAATAATATTTCTTGAGTTCCTTGTTTTTCAGTGCAGCGTAGTATTCCATTGTGTGACTATATCACAGCTTCTCCATTCATTTGTTGCTGGGCACCTGGGTTGTTTCCAGTTCCTTGCTATTGTGAACAAAGCCATGATAAACATGGGTGTGCAGTTACTACTAATTCTAACACCAATCTTAACTGCTTTACTGAGTCAAAAATCTGTTGCAGTAGCTGACACAGTACACAGACTCATACTCACCATTATGTGGTTTATTAGGAAGTTAAGATGATTTCCCAGGGTGTCTTCCAAAGCGTGCTCATAGGCCCTTCACCTTTCAGCTTTTTGTATTTAGGCCAGTGAAACAAAGCTCTTATTGTTAGGTGCCACTGAACCCCAATGAACAACATACCTGAAACCTGCCCTATCCTGTGCCATCTTCACACTTTCTGACTCACTCGAACCCTTTCCAGCAGTTACTGTGTCATTCCCATCTAATTGGAGATGTTCTTCTCTTTTGCCAACCTTCCACCAATATACCAATACTCTTTTCTAAGACCACAGCTCAAAGGCATCAATTATTATATCATCTTTCTTCGTTGTCCAGCTCTCAGATGCATTACAAGTGATTGAGAAGACCATTGCCAGAATCAGGCATACCTTAGTCCTCAAACTAAAATCATGCTTCTCAATAATTTGGAGAGATCCCTGACTACAAGACTTTCCCCCATCTCTTGACCTGACTGCAAATACTGGGGGTGTTGATTGTGGCTCAAGTAAAATGAAATTATTGACTAATCTTCTCCATCTATCATAGTGTGTCTGTTGGTCCAGGGTAAGAATTTTGTTTTCTTACCCTTGAGATACATTCCATATTGACAACTGCAGTCTTTGATCTTCTGCAGCACGTGTCTTGCTTTTAGCTAAAAGTGCCTTGCTTCCGGCACACTATGTTGTGCTATTTGCATAATGCAGGTATTGATAAATCTTCCTCCAATCCGGATAACACATCCTTTATAGAATCTAGCTTTTCGAATACTTTGCTCAGCATACAGATTGAATAGATATGGAGAAAGGTTATAGCCCTGACACATGCCTTTATTTAAAACCATGTAGAGTGAAGATGGCACAGGATAGGACAGGGTTCAAATCTTTTCATAGGGTCATTATGGGTCGTACTTGACTTGACAGCACTTAACAACAACAGTGTATTCCCTTGCTCTGTTCAGGCAACAGCCTCTTGAATCTAGGTATAGGTTTCACATTAATAAAATTGATGTCAACATTAAAAGAGCTAAATGGAAAATTAAAAAAAAAAATTCTATAAAAGGCGAGCTCTGGTGGCCTAGTGGCAAGAAGCTGCACTGCAGTCACAGAGGTATGCAGTTCAAATCCACCAGATGCTCTACTGGAGAAGGAGGGACAATCTCCTGTACCAGTCAGTTCCAACTTGATGGTATATACCCAAAAAATAATAATTATAGAAGAAGAGCCAAATGGAAGTTTTGGAGTTGAAAAATCAGTTATCACAGTAGATAACAGAATTCACTCACAACTCAAGCTCTCTGGTAACAGAATTAGTCCCAGCTCCTTCAGACTCCTGCATTTCTGAAATTTTAAATTGCACTCAGAGGAGACTATTTTCCTCCCATGGAATTGCTGGTGGTTTTAAGCCACCTGGAACTCTGCCTTAAGTTTAACAGCACAATTCACTACAATCTATGCCAAAAAAGTAGACTTGAACTGGCAGTTGACCAAATAGGCAAATTTTGCAATAAAGACAGCAATCCATATAACTTGGGGGACAGGAGGGATTGAATTTCAAAGAAGCAGGCATCAGCATATGTGTGATGGGAATATTAATAAAAGAGTAAGGGGCAGAAAAAAATAATGGCTGAAAACTCCCAAATTTTATGAAACAGAATATGCACACATCCAGAAAGATCAGAAGATTCCAAATATTTAAAAAAACACCACATACCTAAACAAAACATTGTAAAAATGTTAAAAAAAAAGATAAGTCTTGAAAGCAGTGGGAGAAAAACCATTAATCATAAGCTATAAATCCCCATTAAGATTAATAATTAACACACTTGAGGCCTGAAGGAAATGGGATGATGGAGTGCTGAAAGAGGAAAAAACGGTCTTCCAAAATACTATGTCCATCAAAACAATCAAAAACATTCCCAGTTAACAAAACTTGTAGGAAACCTATGTTACAAAAAGAGCAAGAGAGGGCACCCTGTAATTCAGATCTTCAGAAACCATGGTGGTAAAGGTAATTATGTAGGAAAGTATAAAAAATAACTCTGATGACTGATAATCATGTTGTACTGCCAACCAAAAGATTTCTCACCTCTGACAATTTGAGTTCACCAGCTGCTCTGAAAGAGCAGGATGGACTGTCATGTCTTGGAAACCTGATAGAATTCTATCCAGTCCAACAACCCAGTCTGTCATGTGATTCAATAGCAGTGAATTTGTGTTTTTTTTAACTAAAACTAAACCACTGTATAAAAAAAGAAGTGCACAATTGTACTGTGCCTATAACATACAGAAACAGGTATTTGTAACAAACACCACAAAGCAAGATGGGGTGAGGGAGGAGAGAGCAAATAAGAATTCACAGAAAGAAATGAGAAATGGTAGATTTTTAAAAGCTAATGGGAAAAGAAAATGATAAAACTCTTCTTTCAACTCCTTTAAAAGATGTAAAATTATAGAAGATCATGGTAAAAGTTAACATTTGTAACATGCAATATGTATAGTGAAAACCTAGAAAAGGTGAGGAATAGAGTGATATAGGGAGAACGTTCTCTGTTCACAGGAATTGTTAAAAGATGAAATAGATTCTACCAATAAGTATATTGTGAGCCTTCAAATAACTGCTAAGAAAATAAAGACACTGGGGGAGGGGATCATTAAACAAAGTTTAAATGTTACACTCTTGTTAGGTGCCGTTGGTAATGACTCATGGCAACTCTGAACAGATCTGAACCCTCTCCTATCCTGGACATCCTCAGCATGTCTGACATTCTTGAGCCCATTGCTACATGTCTATCCATCTTGTTGAGGGTCTTCTCTTTCACCAACCATCAACATTTCTAAACATGATGTCCTCTTCCAAGGAATAGCTTCTCCTAGCAACACATCCAAAATATGAGAAAACTAAGGTTCTCCATCATTGTCTGCAAGGATGCTCTTTTCCAAGGCTGCACATTTTCCAAGACATAGCTGTTTGTCTTTTTGGCAATCCATGGGATATTCAGTAACTTTCTCCACACTGCAACCCAAAGGCATCAAT